ATAAAGTGAGAACCCTATTTCTCTTCCCTAATATTTTGGTGTAATATACAACGTCAGATGTTTGCACATAAATGCCATAAGATTACAATGATTATATTTCAGTTAAATATATTCTATGATTTCATAGGATACTCTTTCCGAAGCTGTGTATGATTGCACTTGCCATACAATTATACTAATGCAAAAAGGGTACAGGCATCGAAAGCTCTAAATTAATAACTTAGGAAGTGCATCTAGAACGCTTCAATTGAGTGCCCTGGTGGACCTCCTCGTACGTTAATGAATCATATAATAATGGAATGGAAATTAAGAGAAAAATAAAGGAAAGATCTCGCTAGATTAAAGCATATAAAAGGCCTTGAAAATTAAAAAAAAAAAACAATCTATTAAATATTTTGTTCATTGTTCAATACCAAGAATGCTGGTATTTCCATACGCCAGTATCGGTATTTCGGTTCCGAAAAATCACCCTGGATTAGCGGTAAATTCGGTACCAGCACTACCGGTACCACAATTCTAAGGACTGCTCAGGCCTAAACCTGAATGGTAAGGTATTCCATGACAAAACGTTGATTGGAGTGGATGGGATCGTGATGGAGAACGGAGTTTATCTGGCCTTGCTTTTGGACGATAGCTTGCGGTTACAACACAATTATTCACAGGGCAAATAACATGCTAGGCTTTATCAAGCGCTTTTGCTATAACTTTCAGGACCCATACACAATTAAAAACTATATATCGCCTATGTGAACCGTTCGTCTAGCGGAAGATCATCATCCAGCATACACAATTTTGCATCCCTGTGCTTCTTGTAGTACACGCGCAGCGTCGAATTACTGGCTTCGTTTCCGTCGAACACGATGACAATTGCGGGTGTGAGTGAACGATCTGACCATTTTGAAGATCTAACTGGTAGACGGCAATACCTGACAACATTCGCCATGATGTGAGGCACACCTAAGAAGTCGAAAATTCTCCTCACAATGGCTCCGAGGTTCTCATCGGCTCGGTAGGGAACTTTGTTAACAGCGACTCTGTAACTGTTGACATTTTGCGAGGATACGACAGCAAGCTTGGCTCCCGATTCAATCGCTTCGATCTTCTGTTCGATGGTTTCGAGAAACTTGGTTTGTGCAGACTGCCGGCCGTATGTTCTGTCGACCTCGAGCACACGATTCTTAAGACGTTCAACTTGCTTCTTACACCAGGACCGTGAAACTTCTACCTCCTCACGCTGCTTGATTATTTCTGCCGACAGTTCTTCGATTAGCTTCACCAGACGTTCGTGAGCGTCACTGTTCGGTGCTGGTGTCGAATCCTGTTGCTGCTGTTGTTGCTTAGGGATTAGGTTTCGTCGCATGCTGCAAATCTCACAGAAATACCAGAAACTTTTGAGTTCAGGTGAAACTACATCGCTGATTAGGACGCAAGTTGTGTGAAACCATTTCAGGCAACTGTCACGGCTTATCCAACTGATGTTCTCCGTTTTCTTGCTTCCTTGCTTCGCCTTTCCTTTTCTCTTCTTGCTCGTGGGTGGATTTTCACGGCCACAGCTACCACAGATATCTTCGTCACTCATGATGATATTAGCACTACCAAACGACGACTTCAACGGAGTTCACATATTAGTGCTGCATTGGAGCAGCAAGTCACAAAAGAGTTTTTCGCCGAAAATAAGGCAATGTTCACAGAGGAAACAGTCACTAGGAAGTCACAGATAAGCTGGGAGCCCCGGCGGAGGCATGATTCAACCAGCAGTAGTGAATTAGGGGCCCCGGCGATGGCCGCAATTCCCTAACTACGAAACAGCAAGGTGCCCCGACGATGGTAGCTTTGCTTCGCGCACTTCTGGATGAGTTTGCGTTCTCATGAATTTACGTTTAGCAGGTGGGTGCCCCGACGGTGGCAGAACCAGCCCGAACAGTTGGGAGCCCCGACGGTGGCCGTAGTTTCCCACCGTCGTATAGCAAAATGTTCCGGCGGTGGCTATCTTGCTACGTATGCTGAGTTTAAAAATGGCGGCTGGAAGGTGAAAAACTTCCACGCGCCGACCGAGACGCGACCGGGAAGAGATTCAACAATTATCTTCGAATTTTCACGATTTCTGACCTAATTTTAGGTTCGTCGGATTCACCGGAACGTGTGCTACCCGTTTTCAGTAGATTAAGTCGCGACCGGACGGAAAAACTAGGCAAATTAAAGAAACTATTAGGAGCAACACGGAGACGCGTGTGTAGGTGATGCTCACGTTCTGCACCATGAGTGCACCAAATGAGTTCAAATTTTGGGAGGCTAATCTGGGCCCAACTTGGAACTGTTTGAGCACTGTGGGCGAAAATTTCAAATTTTGCATCAGTCCAATGTGTATCCATAATGCTCCTTTTGTTGAAGTTCATGCCCGATGCATCTTCTGCCTATTAGATATATTCACATCAGTACCATAACTCACGATTGGGTACAGGTCTCTCTAGTTTGTAGTAAGTCGAAGGTCATCCCACTGAGCAAATGTATGAAGCAGTGTTTCTAATCTGACTGGCCATGTAGTTTCTTCCGGCCACGATCGGAGAGAGTGATAATCGAGAAAATTAAACACCGGTGCTAATCCCGTTCGTGATTCGTTGGAAGAATATATCTTCAAGTGGGGACCGACCGATTGCAAACCGATTGGGACACTGGAAATCTTGGAACGGTGATTACATTCAATTCTTCCTAATGTTTCTTCGAGAGCATTGTTTAAAGGCTTGGGCATAAGTCTTGACTTCATTCACGTGATGAGTAGACTTATGTCCAACCACTACTTGCTAGATGCACATCTCAATAGAATAAACCTCGTGGACAGCAACATCTGTCGGTGTGGAAACGGTTACGATGACATTGATCACGCAGTTTGGCAATGTACGGCAGCCAGAGAGGAACTTTTGAATACCCTCGAGGCTCAAGTAAAATAACCCTATATTCCTAACACGGACGTGTTGGGAACCTGTGATCTCTGATATATGCAGTGGATTCATGTGTTTCTGCAAATGTATAGTATAAGAATCTGCAAATGTATAGTATAATTCGTTTGTCTTTTGTATCCCATTATTAGTTTTTGTTTGTCTCATCGTCACCCACTGGTCACCATATCCGGTCGAACTCCAGACGAATCAAGAACCACACTACCGTTCATACTACTGGTGACATCGCTCTGATGAGACAACGAAACCCTACCCCCCAAGCTCCTTCCCTTTTCCTATGCTTCGACAATGTACCCCTCTAGCCTCTAAGCTGCTAGTATTCGGCCCAACTCCTACTAGACATAGAGTTAAGTGAATTTTGTTACAAACAAAGAACAATGAATTATCGGCTCCGTAAAGCTAACGCGATTGAGCCTTACAAATAAACGAACTAGATAAAAAAAAGTGGAGGCCGATAGCGGTGCCAGTGGTGTAGTGGTAAGCGTGATTGCCTCTTACTCCAATGGGTTCAACCCCAGTCGGTGCTGTCGGGATTTTCTTAGCTCATATATCTCATCAAAATAGCTCATCATCCCCGGTCCATGAGTTGATGGGTCGATAGTTAGGGTCCAGGTTTGGGAGCTGCCTCCATGGAGTCGGTAGCATTGGTACTCAGTATGGAAAACAAGAATGACGGATAACAAATCAAAGCATCTCCTTTTAACATGACTCCCTGGCAGTTGGAGGCTGCAGAGTAAATTCTAGGTAACGTTTGTTTGAAGATGGATATCAGTTAATAGTTCCAAAGTAGATACATTTTTCTGTTTATTACAAACGGTTTCATGGTGGAAAATCGTTAAAGAGAAACTACACGTCAATTATGGTACTAATCTTACATTCTAGATAAAGCCAAATATTGGCCATTACTGCTTCCAATTAGTGGCTGAGCTCTGGTTCAGAGTCATCCTCAGGAGCCTCGTTTTCGGTATCTTCTGGAATTAAAAAAGAAAACAAGAGATTACCAAATATGATTTAGGTAAAGTTGGCAACACGGTCTGCTTGAGATTAACTTTTTTTTGTTTAATTTTAATGGATTTACAGTGATGATTCAGAAACACTGTGGATAATTTTTCAACCCTATAGCGGCATGCAAATTCATGGAAAAACAAACGTTTTCTGCGCACGAAAAAACATTGAAATTCTAATTTAAATCCAGATGCAATCCAGATGTTGATTGTAACGCAAGATCAACTGTTCCTCTTTATTGTAATGAATAAAAATTTTTAAAAATCAGAACAGTTTTAGAAAATAAATCTTTTAATATAGTTGCTTTTTTAACAGGCTTTACCACAACTGCTGGAGGGTCAATGGTTCGTGGTTTTGCAACACACAAGTTAGATTAAGAATTCAGTTATTCAGTTCCATCCAAAGTTGGATGCTCATGCCCTTTTGATAATAACTTTTCACTCAGTTCATGAAACTTGGTTTTACTTTAAGCAATTGATAAAGTAGGATTAGAGCTCATAGTAGACATGCATAGAGTAGTTAAATCAAAACATTTGTATCCACACCAATGAGCTTTTTCATTGAAATTTCGAAATAAGCAGCGGTGATTTATCTTTTCGTTTTTGTGATGCATAATTGGGAACACCTTTTCACCAATATACAAATATTATGTACTTTACATACCAATAGGAACGTCAATCTCTTTCCTATCAGTTGTTTCAAGTAATGTCATGAGTCGTCAAGGGAGTGCAGAGTTATTAACAAATGATCAATTTGAGCGAAACATTCAACATTCCAACCCTGGTTCCATCTATAAGTACAATCTCAACAGAACAAACATGCCCTTACCTTCGGGAACTTCAACCTCTGGAAGGGTGTTGTCTGGAGTGTGGATTATGTCATCGTCATCACCGTTCTCGGTTTCTTCCTCAGTTTCTTCTTCATCTTCTGGAGTTTCGGCTTCAGTTTCCTCATCTTCTGGAGTTTCGGCTTCAGTTTCCTCATCTTCTGGAGTTTCTTCTGTTGTTATGCAAATAACGTTATAAGCATCACAATAAATTAATTCTTTTCATTTTTGTTACCTTCAGGCTCTTGCGTTGAATCTTCCTCCTCTTCTTCGTTGGCATCAGTGGTTACTTCTTCTATTTGAAAACAAACATTATTTATAGGTTTAGCATTGTCACTTAACTTTAATAATGACATACCTTCTTCCTCATCGTCATCATCATCATCATCATCAACGTGTTTCTTATTTTTGCTTTCGTCTTCATCAGCTGGTACATCTACTTCTTCCTCTTCTTCTTCAGGCTCTTCCTGTTCTGGAACGGTCTCTTCTACCTCTGTTTCTTCCTCATCTTCTGGAACCTGTTCTTCCTCATCATCAACTTCCGGTACTTCCTCTTCCTCTTCAGGAGTAAGCTCTCCTTCTTCTTCTTCTTCTTCCTCAACTACTTCCTCATCATCATCATCATCAACGTGTTTCCTCTTCTTGCTTTCCTTTTCTTCAGCTGGAACGTCATCCTCAGTCTCTTCCTGCTCTGGAACGGTCTCATCTACTTCACCTTCTGGAGTTTCATCTTCTTCCTCCGGTTCTGGGAGCTGTTCTTCCTCATCGTCGTCTTCAGTGGTCTCCTCTTCTTCCTCAGGAGTTGGTTCTTGCTCGTCTTCTACTTCTTCCTTATCATCATCATCATCATCATCATCGACCTTGTTCGTCTGGCTCTCAGGCAGCTCCTCAGGAGTCAGGTCTTCCTCTTCTGGTTCTGGAACGGGTTCTTCTACCTCAACTTCCTCTTCCTCTGGTGCTGGTTCTTCTTCTGGTGCCGGTTCCTCTTCATCCTCAGGGATTTCTTCTACTTCCTCTTCCTCGTCTTCTGGCGTAGGTTCTTCCTCTGGCGCAGGTTCCTCATCTTCATCCTCTGGAGTTTGTTCCTCTTCCTCCTCTGGAGCTGGCTCTGTCTCATCCTCTGGCTCTTCGGGAACCTCTACTTCCTCATCGTCATCGTCATTCAAATGGCAGTGTACTCGCTCGGGCAGATCACATCCTTGAGATGCCTCGTCAAACAACAATCCATCTGGGCAGTTACCGTCCACCAGTCCTCCGTTGAAACAGATCTTGTACTTGGAGCAAGACTCCGGATGAGGCAAATACACACCCTGGTGTCCTTCGATGGTACAATCAAAGTCAGGATTGCGCTGGGTTGGGAAGCCATTGGCCACTGCCACGACCAGCAATAGCACTGCGGCCAAGCAGATTCGACCGTTCATTTTCTAATTCCAAAAAACAATCTACACACAACACTATTATTATCCCACTCGGCACCAACTGATCAGCTTCCAATGGGCGACTACTGACCGAATCATTACGGCGAACCCCTTTTATTGGGTCACCCCAAGCTACTATCGAATCCTCCACAACGGACTGATAAGCGTAAGATAGCTGTCTCCAGAGCATTGATTGACGAGGATGCTTCCTGAAGATGAGATATCAATACGATTTGATTCACCGTATTGGTTCTAATTTTAATACGAGCTACCACTGCTCACTGGCGGGCCGGTTCCCTGACGCCAAAGGGCTCTTGGTGTACACAATGTGCCAAAACGATAAGATATGGAAATCTTTCCTCCGAGTATTGTCCGGATGGAAGTCACCTCATCAGTCGTAGGCGCCATCCAAATCGACTTCTAGGTTACGTAATAAGACAAGTTCAATTTCTACAAGTTCGGTATCGCACAGCTTATCATTTACCCTGCGTGCCGCTCGTAGTCTAAGATTCGAATGCAAATTGGAAACACGTGACGCCTCGTGGGCAGATCGATATGGCCCCCTATGATTGATTAATGATGCTTATTATGTGCTGTCAAAGTGGTGGAAGTATACTATGCACGTGTGAGATCTTAACTTTTTATGACGTCCAGTATAATTTGAATCATCAGGTATAATTTTGGAATTGATATTTATTATTAGGCTATCATGTTTTAAGGACATGTTCCATTTCTTCACACAGTCCCCCCTGGTTCATGTTTATGGAAGTTGGGATCGTAAAGCATGGATTTCTTGTTGTGAAAGCAATCGATTGTATTACAGGTGCTGATCATCCTCCCAAACGATCCTGATAAAAGAATGTTTTGATCATCCCAGTCACAAATCACCACGACTAAACTTGCTAACTGTATGTACTTCTGAGAAATTATCTCAGCTACACCGAGATCGTTACTATCAGTTGATGATGTTGATTGATGCCTTGATTTATAAGAAATTGGTGTTTGTTATGATTGTTCGATTGATTTTTTTTTACATTAGCCTCTGTTCTTAAAATTGTTGTTTTTAAGGATTGCTCAATTCTAGTTCCCTTCAGAAAGTGTTGTCTGAAGTGTGGCCTGCAGGCTCGATGTCGTCTCTTAATCTCATTTGGTATCATTCTTGTCCACTTGTATTCATAATTATGAATTTTAGCCCAGAATTAATGAGAACTAATCAAAACGCAGCTTGAAACATGTTCATTGAACATAGATAGATAGCAAGTTTAGAAAGTTTGGGAAGCCCTAACCTAGATGATGATAAAGCTTAATGGCTTCTTACCACAGTGAGCTAAGGTCCAATCCCAGACGAGGTATCTGATGCCATATTTTCGATTCCAGTTCTAGTGTCGTCCTTGGCATCAGTGATTGGAAATTATGTGAAGAAAACATATACGCATTTAGATACATATGACTCGGAAATTATTTAATTTACACGACACACGACAGCAGAAAAAATGCTGTAGGGTAATTTTCTTGTAGTTTTACAATATAGACACTGCAAAATCAAAAATAATTTTATTCTCTAGTCTTCCAAACTGTTTACACGCAAGCTAAAGAACTGTCTTTATTTTTCTATATCGGGAATCTTATTTAATAGTGGCAGCCGTTGCTTGTGGAAACCAATTGCACAAGACATATTGCTGTCATTGAAAAGGGCCACCCACATAAGATCCGGATCTGACGCGTTGCGGCAAAGTGATAGCTAAATCTACTGTCTAACTGTCAAATTTACGTCAACGCAACGCAAACGGATCTAATATAGGTGACCCTTAAGGTAAGGGTTGAACTAAGATCTTCAAAAAAATCATAAGAACCTTATTCAAAGGTAAGGTAATTTTGTTTAACTTCGCTGGACATCTAAAAATATACGATTTCCTGTAATTTGCTTAAATTTCAACAAAGATTTCGAAAGCTTTTTCAGTATTGCTTAAACTGTTCATAAAGCTCTCCAAACTGTACTAGCTCTAAGTTAGATAAATTAAGGAACCTCAAAAAGGTTCTTTAAAGACGTTCAAAGTATTATGGTAATAGGGGACAAGGCTCTAATGTTGGCCTATGGATCTAAGATTCGGCCCATCGCTTAAAATCTGCTATTTTTCACGTTATTGGGACGGTACTAATGGATATTTTTGTAATGTAATGTTTCCGCCTTTGATATCGAATTCAGTTTTGGTATGTTTTACATATTTTCCAAATACCTCCAAAACAAATTTTTACCGTTTTTCGCCTGATTGAAAAGGCACTCAAAAAATCGCTTATTAAATGTATTTCCTATATAGTCATGACAAATTATACCTTGTTTTTTTATTGCTTATGATGTTGATTCAAAGTTTTTTATTTCTTGATCATAATTGTTTGCGATTCTCGAGTGGTTTTCTATTTTTATCGAGTATTATCAAAGTAACCCCAAAACAAAAATCTAATGTTCAGTCATAAGACAATAAAAATAGTGCAAATGTAATAATTCTTGGTAAACATGTTAACAACGAATTGACTCTAGGATCCCCAGTAAAAACATACATTTTGTAAAAATTATTTAGAATATACATAAAAAACTATCAAAGTTACCCCGTTTTACGGTAAATATGATTATACTCAACGTTGAGTTCCATAATGGCGCCGGTGGTGTAGTGGTAAGCGTGATAACCTCTCACCCCAGCAGGCCTGGGTTCAATCCCAGTCGGCGCCGCCGGGATGTTCTGAGGCATAACATCTCTGATCACGCCTTCCTTCGGAAGGGAAGTAAAGCCGTTGGTCCCCGGTTCATGAGTTGATGGGTCGATAGGTAGGGTCCAGGTGTGGGAGCTGCCTTCCTGGCACGTCGGTAGCATTGGTGCTCAGCACGGAAAACAAGATCGACGGAAAAAACAAACCAAAGGAAAAAAAAACGTTGAGTTCCTACACTTTACTACCTCTGTTGGGTAAATAGACTGTTCCAGAAAGTATAATTACACTTTCAAAATAACAAAAAAGTCATGTTTTTTAAGTTTTAATAATTTTATTTGGCAAATCATATTTGTATTTGTATTTCAAATGATATTTTACTCTCGTTTAATCAACATATTTAATCATAGCCAAGACTCCTAACTTTTCCTCGAACATGACCCATAAGCATCTGCACAGTGGTACTTCCCACCATTTTGACCACTTTTGGCCAATCTTTTTTGAATTTTTGGATGTCGTCCGCTGGTTTTATTAATTTTCGTATAAACGTATTTCTGAGTGTTCCTCGTCTCCGTTGTGATGTACGGACTAGATGTTTTACCACACTCGCATATTGCCTGCCAAACCATAACCTTCTTACCGAATTTTTCGGTAAAAATTGCCTTCTCCGTTTTGGGGATGTCCTTGCCTTAGCTTACAGTATAGAATTGTGGTCCGGGAAGCGTTTTGTAATCTAGTTTCACGTATGTTTCGTCGTCCATTATTATACACCCAGAATTTCGACACAATAACGAATCGTGGTTTCACGGACGCGGCCTGTTTTGGGTTCCTTTTGTTTTAATTTTCTGCTTCCGGTATGTTTTTAGCCCAAGTCAAATATACTCGGGTGTAGGTTTCGAAGATCGAGATGAAAACGAAGCACTTCTCCGTGCTTGGACTTCTCTGGTCCTAATCACAATGACATTTCTTTATTATACCTTCTCACTTAAATACTATGTTTTACAATTTACCTACTGACTCGAGTGGAGAAGGCGTCGAGAAGAAAGCCCAAACATAAACATGGGCGTGCGCTACGCTGAGTCGTTGCGCCGCACTCTAATGAAGGGCAGGGGTGTTTACCTGACAATGCTAAATGCATTGTCAAGGTGATGATGATTGTTTACTGCTGGGCTTTCCAGATGTTTTTGGAAAGTCTGCAAAAACCCAACAGTTACAGTTTATGGCTTTAGTGCTGACTGCAAAAGACAGCGTAAGACCTTCTAAAATATAGAGGGTAGCTCGGATGCTACACAAGTCTTTCTTTGGCACGCATGACGTTACTCGACGAGGCCCCTAGTTTTTTCGCAACATCCCGAACGGAAGTCGCTGGTTTTCGTTTGTAGGCATCCCTGATCTTTTTATCGATATCCGGACTTACAGGACCGGATTTCCGGCCACTCTTCGGCGCATCTTCTCTATATTTTTTAATCGCAGTTCGTACCGCTCCGACGCTTACACCTTCTTCCATGGCCAATTTTCTCAAGGAGAGTCCGCTCACAGTGCACCATTTGTGCACGATACTTTTCGTTGTTCCGGAATAAGACCACGCATTTTGACAGGAAACACAAAACTGAGCACTTTTTTGATGCTATGTCATTCAGAAATGAGCAAACAAAAGGACGCAGCCAAAACATGTTGAAATATTTCATTATATTCAAAGTGACCGTTAAAATAAGGTGTGCTTATACTTTCTGGAACAGTCGTTAGTCGCAATATTCATAGTCAGGCGGATATAATCTCGGAAACCAATTGAGCTGTCAAATTGCGGAACCAGTCGATCAAATCACGACCAACAATATAAAAGAGCACATCAGTTATTGCGAACAAAACTTCTGAACCCTTTTTCTCGTGACTCAAGACGCGCCTATGCAAATTAATACCATATTTGGGTAGGGGAAAGTTTCCCCTATCCGATGATGCTGATAATTAGCGTTCAATTAGCGAGTAAAGAATAAACAACGTTTTGTTTACAAAAGTTGATAGTACCTTTTCAATTGTTGGTCTACAATATATTGAATTGGTTCCGCTTTTTGATAAATCGAAATTCTATTCGCCAGACTATGAATAAAGCGACTATACTGTTGGGTGGTTTTGCTCCTCCGTTTTTGACAACATTAGAAGGAGATAAAGAGACAAACTAGGCAAAAGCAGGATGCCTTTCATTCATTTTGGCTTAAAAAAATGTTTTATGAAATTATGGAATAATAAGATATTATGATTATATTTTGTTTGTGTATGCAACAAGAAAAGATTGTGAAATTTGTGTTTGACACATAATATGTACCAAGCGATTTAGTCATTTATCTCATTTGATGAAAACTGGCTAGCCTTATGTACAACATGTTTTCATATGTCATTATT